GTGTGTCTGTGTGTCTGTCTGTGTGTGTCTGTCTGTGTGTGTCTGCGTGTCTGTGTCTGCGTGTCTGTGTCTGCGTGTCTGCGTGTCTGTGTGTCTGTGTGTCTGTGTGTGTGTGTGTCTGTGTGTCTGTGTGTGTGCTTCAGCCAGCGGCTCTGTGGATGCGTGTGTCATGATCTGGAACACCAGGCCTCAGATGAGGGCCTACAGGTTTGAGGGACACAAGGACGCGGTGACGAGTGTCCAGTTCTCTCCCTCCGGTCATCTCGTGGCCTCCGCGTCCAGAGACAAGACGGTCCGGCTCTGGGTGCCCAGTGTGTAAGTCACAATCCAACTTTCAAGCTTTTAGACATTGTTCTGTTTTTTTGTTATAAGTCAGAAATGACAAGGGGGCAGCTTTCCGCAACACAAAGTCAATGGAGAGCGTTGGGAATGTTTCCCCGCGGTGTGGGCGTGGCCTAAATGCGCTCAGTCTCTATTGTTAAAATGATCTGAAATCAAATTGTGTCATTCTGGATCAACTCAACCATGGGTCCTCTAAGTCTTTTATCATTTCTGTTTGTGTTGTAGAAATGCACAGATATGCCAAAATGTTCAATGTCAGAGTGAAAAATTTAAGGGGGTCTGAATACTTTCCGTACCCACTGTATGTACTGAGTAATCCACTATCTTGCAGAGGGCCATCAAAACGGCAAGTTTCAGCTGAGATTCAGAGCCAGATTACAGGAGGGTAAAATGACTTCAGAAAGATTGCAGCATTGTTATGTTAGTTTACAGAGAGATTGGTAGATCTGTTGACTTCAGCAGTCTTTGTTGCATTATGTGCCAATGGTGACCGTTCAGAAATGGGGAAAAGCACTTTTCAAGCATTTCTTCCCAAAGTTTACTCAAGAAGTATTAAATGTATCTTAATATCCTATTGCATTTTAGTTCTTAACAAGCTTTTCATTTTGTATCACCATTTTTAGGCCCTCTATGGTTCCTTTTTCTGATATATTGAGATCTCATTATGTCCAAATGGTTCAGTTGTACACATTTTCACGGGTCAAAAACCAAATGTGGGTCACTTTGCATACAGATGATATATATATATATATTTCTTTTAAAGTGCAATATCTGAAGAATTAGTCTTGTTTTCCTCTATCAAAAACAATTGCGTTGAACATACCTGTCTGAGAACTATAAATGTTATTTTTCCGATGTTTGCCTGTAACTCGGCTAGTATTAAACATACTTCAATATGCTTTTAGATTTGGGTTCTTAGTAAACCTTCCTGTTGGTTTCGTTATTTTAAAGCTCTGTTTGGTTCATTCCCATATTCTCAGTTTGGCTCCATGTCCAAATAGTTGAATTTTACCCAGTTTGCTGCCGGTGATCTGTCGTCCTCTGGATGGTCAAACGGTGGAAACTAATGTCACAGACGCCGTGTTTGACTCATCGGGGAATGGTGCACTAGATGGCAGCAAAACCCCGTGAACTGACAGTCACTCTGAATACTGCAGATGCTTCATGTGAGCGTGTGGCTCAAACACATGTGTGTACATTCATGTTCTGCTTTCACGCCGTTCCCTCAAGCGTTTCTGCAGAGCCTTGTATGCTCTTCATACTCAAGCTAAGAAAGCAAACCTTCTGTTCTGCCCGTGACTAATGCTCCCATAAGCCGTGTCTCTCAGTCGGCGAGATGCTGGATGTGGGTGTTGGCACAGAAATAACTGCTTCACAAGCTGATAATCATGTTGTCTGAAAGCCTGAGCGTGTCTCGTCACGATGGCATTGAGACACTGCGCTTGTCCATCTGACCCTCCTTTACACGTTACAGAGACATGAGAAATAGAGGCTGTTTCCCAGAGTCATGAGCACTGAGGTTCTGTGTAAATGCTTCATCTCATGTCATTAACTTGCATAGGGCTGGGCGATATGGCCAGAAAAAAAGATCATCATTTTTTCAGATCAGTCGATATCGATAGTTATCACGATAAACGTCAAATCTTTATTTATTTCAAGTTTAAAGCCAGATTTTTGCTTCAAAGAGAAAGTTAAAGAAACCAGAGCCATTAATTGTGGTCAGAACACGACAAACACTCCACGTTTTGAAATCTTTACACTTTTCCTGGCATTGTTTCTTAACAAAATAAATGTCTTAATAGAAAAATTAACTTCTTAGTTTCTGCGTGTTCTAATGAGTGATAATGTTTCAAATCAAGAAACAGGTTTGTGTTGCTTGATAATATTAATAATAACATTGTTTTGTCTCTAAGAAATGCACACTTGATAGTAATCAGATTAAGCTATTAAGCTTGAGTTAGGATGCAGATGCTAATTTTTGTTCATTATAAAAATCAGTAACATCTGTAAAAATTGTAGCAACCTCATTTTTATATGGCGAAATGTAATTATTTTTTATTTTTATTCTTTTTATTATTTACTTCCATAGTAGCATACATTTAGATCATAATAAACACAGTTAAAGTCACACATATAGTGCACCTTGATACCATGGTAAAAATATAACTATATGTGACCCTGGACCACAAAACCAGTCATAAGCACAATTCATTTTTTTAAATTGAGATTTATACATTATATATTATACAGACAGTATTTGGCTGAGATACAACTATTTGAAAATCTGGAATCTGAGGGTGCAGAAAAATCTAAATATTGAGAAAATCATCTTTAAAGTTGTTCAAATGAAGTTCTTAGCAATGCATATTACTAATCAAACATTAAGTTTTGATATATTTACGGTAGGAAATGTACTAAATATCTTCATGGAACATGATCTTTACTTAATATCCTAATGATTTTTGGCATAAAAGAGAAATGTATAATTGTGACCCATACAATGTATTGTTGGCTATTGCTACAAATATCCCCCAGCGACTCAACACTGCTTTTGTGCTGCAGGGACACATATGTGTTTTAGGTATTTGTATGAAAAACAGTAGTCTTAAAAACATTGTGTAAATTCACAAACGCTGTGGCTTAATCACAAAAACATTGTAATTATATTCATTACTCCTTTAATACATGCATACATTAATATTATAATAAAATTCAACATGAATATCCCACATTTCTGACACAGTACCATGGTGCAGTTAGTGCTACTACAGTGAAGCCATGGTAAATGCTGGTGATGAGTAGACTGAAGGTCTTCTGACTGTATCGTTGCACACAGTGTTTCTGCTGCTTGTCAGCGCTGTTTCAATTGGTTTTGAAGGTGCAGTGTGTAATATTTAGGAGGATCTATGGACAGAAATGCAATATAATATACATAACTGTTTTCAGAGGTGTATAAAGACCTTACAAAATGAACCATTATCTGTTTCATTATGTAATAGTATTTCTATCTGTTTCTATTATATCGCAATAATTATCGTTATCGATTTATTGCCCAGCCCTATTACATTTCATTAGTTACTTCGACCCAGTGCATCTGAAAGATTTCTTTCTGTTGTCTACAGTATATACACTACCAGGTCAGTAATGTGTGTTAATGTTTTTGAAAGAAGTCTCTTCTGCTCAAAAAGGCTGCATATATTTGAGCCGAAATACTGTAAAAATGTTTTAAAAAGCTGTATTTTCAGCATCATTACTGCAGTCTTCAGTGTCACATGATCTTCAGAAATCAGTATAATATGCTGCTCGAGAAACATTTCTGATTATTATCAGTGTTGAACACAGTTTTCAAAAGAAATTTCAAAAGAACAGCATTTATTTGAATTGGAAATCTTTTGTAACATTATAAATGTCTTTACTGACACTTTTTTATCATTTTAATGCATGATGCAAAAAAGTATTAATTTAAAAAGTCTTACTCCAGTCTAGATGTTTGAATAATATTTTTGTGATGTTATTTATAAGCTGATGCACATGACATTAAGAAACGGATGAAAGCTTTGTTGCAGATAGAAAACTAAGACGCATATGTATGTGTTTTAATGGAATATGCATGGAAGTAGAGTGAGATGTTCTGTGGATGTCAGGAAAGGGGAATCGACGGTGTTTCGAGCGCATACGGGAACCGTGCGCAGCGTGAGCTTCTCCAGTGACGGACAGACGCTCCTCACCTCTTCTGATGACAAAAGCATCAAAGTCTGGGCCGTTCACCGGCAGAAGTTCCTCTTCTCCCTCAACCAGCACATCAACTGGGTGCGCTGTGCCAGGTGCGTTACTGCACAGATCACAGGATTTCACAACACTTTGTGGTTTATTGTTTGCTTTTGTATTTTAAGTAAACGTGGACAAACAATTGACCTATCGGTAAGCCCCTCCCCTTGAACACTGACTAGCCAATGGCAGACGAGTATCAGTTGCACGGGGAGTGGAACGCGGATCTGTAGGTTTCAGCGTCATAGAGAAACATTGGCATCGTTTTTATCGGGTTTATGGTTCAAAAATGGGAAATCGATGTGCCTGGGGTACTTGTAACACTGATTCCAGCTATCCTGAGAGGATGGGCAATGGAATTTATTTATTACATTTCCTAAACCCAAACAAAACCGAGCAAAAATGTCCCAAAGCATTCAACCGCAATCCCAATGAAGACAAAAACGTTCGTTTTCTGGTTGTCATACTCTCATTAAGTTACAATTTTCATCTCGTGCTTCAGCAAGGCATCTCTGGCTAAAACTAGCTAACGTTAAAGTTAGTGAGTCCATACAAACCTAAATAGTGGACTGATCTCGCGTCTTGTACAGTGTAGAGCAAAAACACATGAACGAAGGTCTACATTTCAGTGCCTCTCCAGATTAAACTGGTTAAATGTACATTAATATAATCATACCCTGCGATACATGAACAGTGTTGATCCGGGGTTTTGTCATCTGCGATCGTGATCCAAATTAATACCCACAATATTTATTTTCAAATCTTCTAAATATCCCTCCATGGCATATTTAAGTCCCTCTTGAATGGTGGTCCTTCTGTGTCCAAAATCTATCAAAAAGATACAGGCACAAGGTTTTCACACTGACCGCTCTCATTGTAAGACCGTGAGCAACAGTAACTGAGGGGGCGGGGCTTACCGGAAGGTCAATTTGAATAGTTGTTCTTCTCTGTTATACCTTTTCAAAAGACCTCGGAGGACAGTCAAATGAGAGAGAATAGAGAGGAGAATAACATAACGAGCTTGATGTTTAACCAGCAGCACCGGTTTGTAACGAGTTCCCCGTAAATCCTGTAGGTTTTCACCGGATGGGCGTCTGATTGTGTCTGCCAGCGATGATAAGACAGTGAAGCTGTGGGACAAGAACAGCAGGGAGTGCATTCATTCGTTCTGCGAGCACGGCGGGTGAGTGGAGGGTACAGAGATACAGCGCCGGCGCTGGAGCACAGTCACAGCAGCGTCTGCGCTCTTGTTTCAGATACGTGCATCACGCTGACTTCCACCCCAGCGGCACCTGTATCGCAGCGGCCAGCACCGACAACACCGTGAAGGTGTGGGACATTCGCACACACAAACTCCTGCAGCACTACCCAGGTGAGGGTCACTGCACAACACAGATCAGCAGCAGCGGTGGGCGAGATGATTAGAGCACTAGTATTCTCGCCATGCAGCTAGAACAGCAGGGAGTGCATTCATTCGTTCTGCGAGCACGGCGGGTGAGTGGAGGGTACAGAGATACAGCGCCGGCGCTGGAGCACAGTCACAGCAGCGTCTGCGCTCTTGTTTCAGATACGTGCATCACGCTGACTTCCACCCCAGCGGCACCTGTATCGCAGCGGCCAGCACCGACAACACCGTGAAGGTGTGGGATATTCGCACACACAAACTCCTGCAGCACTACCCAGGTGAGGGTCACTGCACAACACAGATCAGCAGCAGCGGTGGGCGAGATGATTAGAGCACTAGTATTCTCGCCATGCAGCTAAAAATGGTTTAAGTCAGTTATTTCTATCTTTTACTGTCATCTCTGGCTAAGAAATATCAGTTTATATTTGCAAACATTCATTTGGGCATTAATTGTAATAAACGAGTTATATCTTTGAGCTCCACACTGAAATCTGATCTGATCATCATCAGTCTGTCTGGAGTCACATGAAGAAACAGAACAAACTGAGACAGACTCAATCCAGAAGAACTGTGTCTCCGAGACGCTTCAAGAAAGCTACCTGCAAACCTAATATAAATAGGTTTTCTTGATCAATGAACTTCTATTAACTGAATGAAATCAACTTTGTGTTTAAAGCAGTTTTTGCTCTCGGTGCACTTGAGCAGAGTTTCTCAGGAGCTTCTCAGGAGGTTTCTTGACAGGTCAGTTCTTCTGGATTGAGTCTGTCTCAGTGTGCTCTGTTTCTTCATGTGACTCCAGACAGACTGATGATGATCAGATCAGATCAGATCTCTGTGTAAATGTCACTGGATAATGTCTTAAGCATTTAGCTAAACATAACTAACCACCCTTTACACAAACTAATGATCTGTTAAGCATTATATCATGTTTATTAATGAACGTTATTATTATTAAGTGTTACCATTGTTAATAACTGTATAGATGAAGCCTTTTTAAAGCGGTTCAGGCCATGAAAGTGGTAGATAATGTGTCCGCATGTTTTATGCAGCACTTTTCAAGTTGCGTAGCTTTGAAACATGAATATACTTCTGCATGTAATAATGTATAATAAAATGAATCATTCACGTCTGGAACACAAACACTGCAGGCCAACTCGCACAATATGCAGTGTGTACATTTACAAAAGTAATGCACGTGTCATGATTCAACATGATCATAAGGCATGATGTATGAGCACAAGTGCAGATGGGTTTTTGTTTTTGAATGTGTTCATACTAGCAGTCTCAAAACTGTGTGCTTTGACTCTCACAGTCTGCAGCAGCTGATACAGTATGGAGCTGTAGATCATAATTAACAGCTTGAATAGTATCTGTGAAGCGTGTCTGGAGGCGTTTGAGCTGTAGTCTCTGCATTAGTCTGCTGGGGGCGTGTTACGCTCGCTCATATCCAGCACACAATCTCAGGATCTATTGTGTAGATCTCTTCATTTATCCAAAAATACTTCAACACAGGTCACACGTACAATCAGTACACCTCGTCTGTAATTAACATGTTTTAATGAAAATTCATATTGACATTTTTAGGGAGCGTAAAGTGAAATATCATAGTAAAAAAAGAAAACATTTAAAGAATTAAATTCTTGAAAAGGTTAGGTTTATTATTATTTATAGTTTAGAAAATATGTAGAAAAAATGTCACTGAAAAGTTTTTCACTGCTTATTAATGCTTGGAAAACATTGTCCTCTAAATCAAAGTCGTGTGAGGCAGTCAGTATGCAAAAACAAGCAGAAAAAACCATCATAAAACAGGAATGAAATGACGTAAGATCCCAGCAGACCATCGTAACTGTGTCGAGGTCATGACAAGGCAAGCTTAGCTCAGATTGTACAATATCACGCAGACTCCGCATGATGTAATATCATTAATGCTTTTATATTTGATTATATTTGTGATTCACACTGGTGGGATGAGGCGTAGGGCTGCTCGATTATGGCAAAAATCATAATCACGATTATTTTGCTCAATATTGTGATCATGATTATTTAACACGATTATGAGTGGGCCATGTGACCAAAACTTTATATGTGACCCTGGAGCACAAAACCAGTCATAAGGGTCAATTTTTATATTTGTACATTTATACATCATCTGAAAGCTGAATAAAATAAGCATTGATGTATGGTTTGTTAGGATCGGACAATATTTGGCTGAGATACAACTATTTGAAAATCTGGAATCTGAGGGTGCAAAAAAATCTAAATATTGAGAAAATCATCTTTAAAGTTGTTCAAATGAAGTTCTTAGCAATGCATATTACTAATCAAACATTAAGTTTTGATATATTTACGGTAGGAAATGTACTAAATATTTTCAAGGAACATGATCTTTACTTAATATCTTAATGATTTTTGGCATAAAAGAAAAATGTATAATTGTGACCCATACAATGTATTGTTGGCTATTGCTACAAATATCCCCCAGCGACTCAACACTGCTTTTGTGCTGCAGG